AGCATCAAATGTCTACACTTTCATAGCAAATCATGATTCAAGTTCAAATCTCAGTCATACTACTGCAGGTTTTGATGACTGTGGATGCTTGCGTTGGTGTAAGCACTACCGCGCAAAAGAAATGCTCTCTGTACAAGATTAATATTATTTGAAATTTGAAATTTTACCAAGTAAATGATTTGTTATTTAAGTACCATGCCACAATTATCTTCAGCTCACGGGTCCTTGCGGGTTACTTATGATTTCACCTTATATTACTTGTTAAGTGTCCAGCAAGAGCGGAACAAAAGGGTTGCAGAATTATTGGTGTCTTATGAAACGAAAATGGTCTTTTACTAAGGCAAGAAAATTTTAATCAGTAAACAATCATGATATTCAATGATTACAAGTGTAAGAAACTACGCGTCTTTGAAAATCTAAGTAGTTAGATAACTGAACACAATGGTGACAGATTTTCTCCGTATAAATTGTTCTTTTTCGTTAGGACTGAATCTTTAACTGAAATGTTGTGAGTAGTATTGTAAGATCAGAATTAGCCCCTGTTACTGAGTTCTCCTGATTTTCAGAGAATTAAGGAAGCTCAAAAGATCATATTGTCTTAAAGGAGTGTAGAGGAAATATAAGTGACACAAGGCCAAATTGTACATCTGTTTGGATATAAAACAACCACTTATAAATACTTTGAAAGCCTGGAATTCACCTTTGCGATGTTAATGTTTTTAGTGAGGTAACAAGGTTACTTCTGATTAAATAAGAATCCACTATCAGAATTGCTGCTTCTTTTTTGTTAAACCATAATTTGCATTTTTCCTTTAGATCCCTACATGATGTAAAAGCCACCGAGATGGGTTAGTTACATGTAATTATAACAAAACTGTTTGCATAGAACGTCCCTTTTACATCTTAAAGTCAAGACAAACTGACAAACCTACGCGTTAATCCGTTGTAACAACGTGATGCAGGAATTTCTGTGCAGACACGAACACACATGACAAAGAAACGAAATGTCTGGTGAATATTTCAGCGGTTCCAAAGCATTTCATCGTAAGATTTTAATTTCTGTACAGGAAATAGGACGAATTTTACCACTAAAATCTATTTAAATATGTATCTTAAGTACTTTTGGCCGGTTATGTAGCTTGTTTTCCAATAAAGCCATATGATGGATGCTTCAGGAACAGTAAATCCCACCTTTCTACTATTTCCTCATAACTGATGTCTTTTGAATGAAACGCAAGGTGAAAAGGAGAAAAAAAGAGGTTATTCCTTTCGAGTTTGTCTCCTAAAATAATTAAAAACGCAAATTTACATCTGAATAAAATTCGCAATGAAAAGTTCAAAAATTCCCAAAAACATTAGTAAAATGGCATCTGAGCCTGTTCTTGAAGATGTGGAGAGTTTCTGCCTCCGCCACGAGGCAGAAAAAAAAAAGCAGGACATCAACAGGTGCTGGTTAATTTTGACAGACCAATTCCAATATTGCAGTTGTTAACCTTTATAAATAACAGAACTAAGAAATGAACGCCTGTATAAACTGGGCAAAATAGGAATCTATTCCTAATTTTCACCCGATATTGGAACATTTGAACGCAAACGAATATCAAAAGTATCTCTAATTTATTTTATGTCCGATTCAGTTTTGTTACAAAGTAATACAATAATGAGTGCAGGTGGTGGGGAGTAGAGACTTTTTCAAATTTTTTCATTGTATTTTGGAAAACGTTGAAAACTAACTACAATTAATACAATTCTACTTTTAATGCAAATGCTGCAATCTAATTGGCTGAGCTACTGTATACTATTATTAGCGTGCAAGTTGCAAGTACTAACAACAGTCAAATCTACCGGCGGTTACGTAATATAGTAGTGAAATAATTGGAAATTGTCATTTGAAAGAAATTGCTTAGTGCTAGAACGTGAGGTCGACATGTCTATGGTGGTAGTTGATGAGGCCGTTGTTCTTCCTTTTCTCCGTTCAGCAATTCACTTTATCAATAACTAGGTATATTTCGTGTGTTTGAGTATACTTTGTCATGACGTTAGGACAACGAATGTCTGTGACAGAGCCCCTATAAGAAATAGTTTACCTTCTCAGAATTTTAGAAACACTACTGTATGTAAAAAAAATATTCACCACGGCTTCCTAACATCGGCAAATCTTTTTATCTCACGGAAATAGTAAAATGCTTTGGAACCACCAAGATATTCATTGAGGTGTAGATTTTCACGGCATCATTTCTGTGTTGCAGGAGCAGATGTAGTTCGGTTTAAGGCTGAGGTTAACTTTGATGGACGAGAAATAACTCGGTGTCATCTCAACAGAGTTGACATGGAACTGCTATTAGAGGTAAGTGCAGATTGCATTAATAGTCTCAATTGAGCTCTTTGAGCTTTTCAGTTTAACAGCTTTTGTGTAGAGGCCCCAAGCCTATATGAACAACTGTGTTTCTTATTAGTCATGCAAGTGTCAGAATAGCCGGCTGTTGTGGCATACAAGCGTATTATTTTACAGAGTACTGTCAGAGAGAAATAGCTCTACTATTTAATTGCATTCCTTACAGGAAGTACAACAGCTGACAACAGTACCAGAACTGGAACTTTTTCTTCTAGAACATGGGGAAGAAGTGATTGATATGTTGGGTCAACAAGTGGACCGAATTGAGAAAAATATCAAGGTAAAGGAACGGTATCATCTACAATGGAACTCCTAACTTCCTGTTGTCTTGGCAAAACCCTCATTTAATCTTTGTATCTTCTGCCTGGGTTAAAGGGACACCACTAGTAAGGGAATAGGGTCACTTTGGCGTCCTGAATGCGACCAATGTGTTAATGCATGCATGCCAGGAAATGTGATTGCAAAAGAGAGTTGAAAGGTTTCTCCCTCTCTTACCACGAGTAATGTCAGCTTTCAACAATACATGATAACTACTACTTACGCAACGCTTTCGAGTGGTATAACATGGAATTTTCCACTTGTCACTTGCATTTTCTCGGTGTACACACCAGCCTATTTTATACCATGCCATAGAAAATACAGAGGCCAACAATCAATGCGGCGCACGATGGGAAGGTTAAGTGTAATACCGTTGAGTATACGACGGCTTTCCTGTATTCTGATTGGCTGTACTTTCTAAGGCGTGTTTCCTTTATGGATGTTCCACTGTATTTCAAAACTGAGATCTATCTGCTCACCATTTTCCACATCACACATCAAGGTGAAATATCTAGCTCTGACAAACGTGATTGCATCTTCACCAAACTCGCGCAAGTGTAAACAATCTCACCATTATTACTCCGTAGATGTCGTCATCTGGCCGACTGCCGCCGATGAGATTTTCACGAGCTAGAAATATTCCACCCTGACGTGATAGATGCTTGTAGTGTCTTACATGAGTTGTTCCTTGTCAGACACTCTGTGGTGTCATGTGTTCTGTATCGATGTTTCAGCAGCAAATTTAACATATCTCTGACGCAAAATAGAATTTGTGCTGGTGTCGACCCGCAGGCTCTACCTGCCGAACCGGGCTTTGTTTTACATGTTTATTAACTTACATGTCTCTTTCCTTTCATTTCAGAAAAGAAATCCTGAAGTACGTCACGTGGACCTGGAGATCCTGTGATGTCACTCGTTACACGTGATGCCACGTCGACGTGGACAGAACAGGAACTTCTAAGATCGTCAGAGAGAATCTCGCGTGCTAAGGTTGAAGAGATGCTTTTATCACAAAGCGATAGCGTTCTTTAACGATACACGCAACTGCGACCAGAGCTGTATGCCCTGCTAATTTATAATGTGGACTCAATGTGAGCTCTGTTGATTTTCTTACAGTTGTATTCGGAAGATAACTAATCAGATGTCAATCATGTATGTGGGTTTTCGGCAGTTTCGAACCGAGCACAAAAGTGGTCGGCACCAAAGGCTTTTATTAAACTAAGAGCTGTTTAAGCTGCTGTTTTATAACCACGTGTAAAGATCACGTGTAGTCTGCGGGTAAAAGTTAAAAACTACAAGTTGAAGATAATAAAAGACAAGGTCGCACACGAGCCAACTGGCGCATCTTGCCGGAGCTGTGGCTTGAATTGCTTGCTAATCTCGGGTTAAGTGAACTCGCTGAAAATTAAAACAAAATGGCGAAGCTCTCGCACGTTTGTCTGCATGGACACGTAAAAGCTCCTGCCTTGTTATTTTTTTCCCAGTTAGTTTCAGCGCAGTATTTATTATACACAGTGCTTCCTATCTCCAGTCTGGTATCCAATTTACATAATCCAAAGGCGCAGATTTTCACACTTTACTGAAAGAAAATTGCGAAAAAAGAATCTCCATCTGTATTGGGATAGCTTTTCATACGTGATGTTGACTTAAAACTTCCTTTTAAGGTTACTGTATACCTTCAAAGGTGTCTGATGTCCAAGCGATGTGGCGCGTCCGGTTTAAACTGTTTAAATTAAAGCTTATGGAGCTGGCTATCAAACTATACCAAGAAGTTTGAAATAAAACGAAATGGCGAATTTTTTACGACCTCTAATGCCCAAAACCCAGAATGCCTACAGAAAGGCTTTTAAATGAACTGAGTTTCCATTCCATAAATACATTGATCTGTTCTACTTTTCATTTTATTGATATTGATGTACATTTCAGTTTTAGTTATTTACATTTTAGTTTTATAGCTAAAATAGTTTATTTTTTCCCTTATATTGAAGAAGCAGATTTGAACTGACTGCAACTGCGTTACTATGCCAATCTGGAAAGCGCGAATAGTTAGATTTGACAATGACATTGATCAAACCACAAGGATAAATTAAATACTATTAATAATTGATAACCAATATTAAATAATATTATTATACTATTTATTAATAATCTTTGGATAACATTTTCAGTAACAGTTTCGAATAACAATACTGACCAAAGTTCAAATGAGGCCTAAATTTTGTCAAATAATTCTAGAGTTCACTCCTTTCTGATTCGCGCTGTAAACAGGTCCCATGTTGATTCTACAAATTGTCAGCTAAACATGTTTCCTCAACACCAACAAAAGTGAATACATTCATGTACAAATATGACCGTATTTTGGCCGGCTTGGTCTTGAGCTCTGATTGGTTTAAAAACCTGTGCAATGTCATCAAAAATGTTCTCTCAAGCAAAACCTTGGGTAAAGAGGAGGAGCACTTATTCCAAGGACGACAGCAAAGAACTTAACGAGGGGGAACTATTAACGTGAACCAGTTGGAGCCTTTTTTTCAGTTAAGCGTTTGTAGCAAAAGACACAGAACATGTTGCACGGATCCTAAAGCTGAATTCTTACTTGCGCATTACAAGTTTACAGCGTTTTCAAAGAGCAGAACAGATAGCACGAACTCTGCAAGCACATGGAATCCGAAGGCTATTTTCAAGTTTTGATATCTTGCAGTAGAGTACTTGAGGGTTGACGACACAACCGGATTTCATTACTTTTTGATATCTGTCCAAATGTTTCAAAATCCTTTCGATCTCGTAACTGAGACGTAAAGAAAAACGAGGAAATGGAGACGAGGCGTATATTTTCTATGATACCCGAAGATTGGGCTCTCATTGGACAGCAGAGGCGAGGGGGGGAGCTATTAAGGAGTGGGCGCTTCTTTGAAGAACACTTGCATGTTGTCTGATTGTGCTATTGACTGTGGATTATTGGCTTGCATTACGCTTGAGTCGAGTTGCTTTTTCCTAGTTGTACAGTCTGCTCTTTACAAAGCACCTTGATGGAGTTCTCGTTCTTTCAACATTAACCCCTTGAAGAAAACAAACACGCTCGTTAAATACATACAACAGTTGATCAGGGTTCTGTCGGAAGTCATTCATAGTAATAAAATAACCCTCAGCTTTAAATGTTACCTTCTAATCTGCAATGGTGATTTGTTATCTCTCACCAAATAAGTTCAAACTGTCATCTCTAAACAAACAGCTGCTGAACTGAGAAAGGTCTTAACATCCCGGCTCTTAAGCATCACTAAGTAGTTAGATCTAGGGGAAGACAGACAACTATGTCGCTAAACAAAAGTAGCCTGGAATGCTTGCCAAAAGACGAAACGATTGAACATACTCAACTCAGCAATGTTGTAAATACGTTTGAAAGCTCAACATTGAGACGGGGAGGTGGAGGGGAGGGGGGAGGGAGGAGAAGCAAGGAATTTCCAACACCTATGCCCACTGTCCTTTCACAATATGTGTCTCACCTGTCTAAGTGCTGCAAGCTGTTGTAGAATCATCTCTTGGCGTGCTGTTGGCAAGCGGTCTGGGGAAGCCTGAACAAAAGCATTAATATTAGGTAAGACTTCTGTCTCTGGCCACTTTTTTAAGCACATTGTACTCCAATGTCTGTTATTTTGGCTAGGTAGTAGGATAATAGTCAAATTATCTTCAAAAAGAACGTCTTAAAACAGCTACGTCAGAGTTTGTCATCTTGAAAGGTTTAGTCTCAATTTTTCTAGTTCGTCGTTTGTAATCCGTGTTAACCTTTTCCATCCTTAACCATCCTTGCTCTTTTTATGGTTTGTTTATCATCTCTTTGGTGTTTTTCTGTCTTAACAAACTACTATTTTCAGGCCAGTTTCCTTCGAATTTTGTGCATGGCCAAAAGATTTCAAAATACCATCACTGTTACTGAGCTCCAAATAATGGTTTGAGGTAATGATCAACAACTCAGGGAGAGGGGTAATGACTTTTAAAGGCGCACGGAAAAAGGACTACAGGTCCTGCAAATTTTCAAGCTTCCCTGCTGATCCAATTAGAATAACTGCTCCTGTCTCTTGATGTTATATTTTAAAGCCAAGGATACCAACCAAACCTTTAATTCAGGACTACAGATAACGTTTAGCTCACCTGCACTGAATACACATCAGAGTTTTCTTGTGTCTTTGCTTTATCGTGTTTATCTTTCCGTATTTCAACCGTTCTAGAAAGATCGCTCTTTTTAGGATCTTGTTTAGCCAGCCTTTGTGTACCTCTGGGACTCCCTGACGGTTTTTCTACCTTATTATCCCTTTTAACAGGTTGCCTTCCAAGGGTTTTTTGGCTGAGGCTCGTTGCTGTAGTTCGGTTCGCTTGAGTGACCATTGAGTGTGGTTTCTTAAGTGCTGGTTTATTTCTGTTTACAGTGGCCAGATCTTTACGGGAACCAACAGTATCACCTTCAGGAGTTGAGGGAGTACCAGGAACGGCAGAGAATGTAGCACTGGACGTTCTGGTGTAAGGTATCATGAAGGCATCCTCTATACGAGGGGGAACTGCTGACACGCTCCCTGTTTCCTCTTCAGGATGTCGGCTATCACGGCCATACTTGACGTTTTCCAATGAAGACTGTCGCTTGTTTCGTTGTTTAAATGTTTGCTTCTTCCTTTGACTTCTCTCCGACCTTGACCTGGTTTTTACGTGTCCTGCGTCATTGCCAGGTGATGGGGAAGACTTCAAGTGTGACTTCGCTTGAGAATTGTTTCGTAGAGAGGAAACAGGGGATGAAGTTGCCCATTCTGATTCCAGGGACATTTTTGAGCTTATTTCTTTTAACTCTGATTCAAATGAAGCCTTCTGTTCGTGTCTGTCATCTGCTTTAGCCGGTGCTTCCTTGTGCTGTGTTCCCCTTGGACTGGGCTGACTGTAATGGAGTCTGTAATCTGCACTAGAGAAATCTGCCTCCTTATTCTCAGCCAAGGTATCTGCAACAATGTGTTGCTGCACCGGGGCAATACCAGCTTCAAGAATGAACAGAGAAAAGTTTTACTACATTAAAGGCTTCACATTTTATGAAACATACTAGTACATGTATTAGAATGACAAGGTGGTCAACAGTACTTCATTTCTTTCCTTCTTTAACATTCTATCTATCGTTAAACATTTGTCAGTGACCTTGTCGTCAGCTTGACGACAAGACATCAAAAAAAGGCTTACCAAGTAGTTATGAAAGTATGTTTCATCTCGTTATCAGTATTGCTATGATAACTGACTAATTTTGCCATCATGAAGATACCAACGTGATAGTTATATACTTAACTTACGTGATTTCAATCCAGATACATCGTGACCATGTAGCTCCAAGTGCTTTATCCTTTTTGCAGCTTTTTCCTTACCAAAGAAAGCGTAATTCATTATTATAATGAAATTTAAAAAAAAAACTGGTAATGACTTCAGACCAGTTGACTATTTACAAAGAACGGCCAAGGAGTTGCGACTACCGAGAAAAAAAATGCAGTTATTGGTGGGCAGGGTGCAGGATTTGAACCAGCTCTTGAATCCAGCGCCCTAAGGCAATGAGCAGCGTAAGACAGATATTAAAAGGTGAAAATAGTCGAGCCTGGTCTAAACAGTGAGTATTCTACAATTCACAATTATTAGGTACTAGACAACTTAGTTCGTTAGCTTGGCTTTGAACATGCTTTACGATCAGCTGCTTATTACTGGCAGAAATTGTTTCAATATATCAGCTCATATTCTTTTCGTAATCTTAGTATTGAGAGATTTATGAGTGACGTGTTTATGTTTGGATATCTGACCTGCTGGGCTGACTCATGTGCCTGTAAAATACTTAATTGTAATGCCTCGGCACGACGCCTTGCTTCATCCTAGAAAATAGCAGAGACAAAAAAAGTCGAACATACAGCTATTAGCTAAAGTTACACCTGTATTGTACTTAACAATAGTACTTCATCGCAAAGTACCGTTCCCGATATAATCCAGATCAAAGGCTGTGCACTTAAAGGGGAAAATATTCTCAAATGTTTCTCCAGTTCTAGAAAAAGTAGAATGAGCGATCATGCAAAAAGCGACTTACATAACTTATGACACATGCAGTATCATTAGCTTTGATGACAAGCTATGCTTTCACTGACTTGATAACTTCCAAGACATTTTCGTGATTAAGTGATAATTACTAGCTCCAATACACCCTGAGGCATTTATTTTAAACCCAGCACCTATTTAAGGACTGGTATATTTTTTTAGGATTGATAACTGACCTCTTTTTCCTCTCGTAGTTTAAGTTCGTCTCTATATTGTTTTTGAAGTCTTTCTCGTTCTGCTGCCAGAGCCTTTTCTTTCTCAGCCTCTTCTTTCATTCTTTTTTCTTTCTCCTCGTGTTTTAGACGTCTCTTTTCCTCTACTTGTTCTTTAATCGCACGCTAGAAACATTTTAATAGACTCGGTTTAAACAAAGAACTAACCTGAGTGGTATCAATTAGCGTTGTTTTACGTCTTCAAGTCTGGGTATTACTCTTTATCATGCATAATTAACATCATACACATACGAAACACAAAGGTAAGAAAATCGTTAAAATGAAGACAGAGAATTGCAAGGCCATCGTTGTCAAATAGAGAATGATAACTAGTGAACTTTGAAACATGTTTCCATATCTCTAAGCTAATCACCTGATGTTCAAGTGTTTTCAATCTTTTTTTCTCAAGTTCATCCTGGTTCATGTCACCTAAACTTTGCAATCCGTGACCTCGAGCATGAAAATTACCAGCCCTGTAACACAAACATCACTATAGTCAAATCTCTAATCAACTTCTCAATGATTCTCACTGACTTTAAAGGATACTTAATTTTACGAAAATGACAGAGCCATGTTTCGGGAAATTTAATTTAGTGTCAAATTGGCATTCAATTTCATAGAAACATTGCACTGGTGATTCGTCGTAAACACAATCCGCTTTCTGGACTTTAAGGCTTTCAAAAGAGAAACGCGTACAGTAACAAATCACAAGAACTTCACCGGAATTTTGCATCAATAAAAAGATAGAAAAACGTAATTCAGAGGAAGAATGTGGAATCATCACCTCCACCCCACAGGTAACGTCACAAGAGTTCTGCAAGCATAACAATCCCAAAACTTTTAAAACTTAAATGTTACACTTGAAACATTTCAACGTGATAAGAAGGTGTATTATTTATCAGAAGCACGGGAGCAGGGACGGCACAGTGGTGAGAGCGCCTGCGTCCCACTAATGTGGCCCAGGTTCGATACCAGCCTGGTGCCATAGGTGGGTTGAGTTTGTTGTTGTTCTCGCCTTGCTCTGAGGGTTTTTCTCTGGATTCTCTATTTTCCCTTCCTCCACAAAAACCAATTCCAATTCGACCAGGATAGAGCACCCGCATGAAAATCAGCGAAGGCTGATGTGGCTTCCTCTCTAAATATTGTCATTTATTTAATATTTATTCACGTAAGGTAAGAAGCAATTCCTAGCATTGCAACTGTAATATTGAACAACAAGGAGGGACCAGGCTTATACGATCACCCTGTCCTCAAGAACTTGCTTTAAAAACAAATAAAACCAAATACACTTTACCTAAAACTATTTTCAAGTACAACTGAAGCTCCAGCACTTATTGGCGATTCACGTTTTGTGACAGCACTGCTGGCTACAGCTTGAGTAGGAACAGGAGGTGACTCGTTTGGAATCGTTGGTGTTTTATTCCAGCTTTCTTCTTTAGCGTCCTGTTAATAAACAACCCACCATCAATAAAACACATTTATATATAAAACAAGATCATCAGTTTTAGAATTGATAACTTTAGCTACAGTATCTAACAAAGAAATACAGTTGTGATTGACCCTGCTAAAAAATCTTCTAAAGAAGCAATTAGATTTTGAAGATCTGCATTAATTAAAGATCTTTAATTTGTAGGTCTTTGTGAAAATCTTCTGGGATCCTCACCTGGATCATCAACGATCTTATAGGATATTGCAAAGATCTTCCAGGTCCTTGCCAAATTCCTTTAAAGGTCCTAATGAGGACCTTTGCAGCGAGCTGAAGGATCTTTGCACAATTTTACAGGATTCTATATAGCATCTTGAATAGGATCCCATAAGATACCATTCCTACATGCAGTTAAGATCCTAAGCAATCCTATAAGATCATAGAAGAATTTTCTCAGGGTTATTACTATCATTACAAAGGCCATTGAACACTTTGAAATTTTTTTTTTCAAAACTTGTGTAATCCTTTAGAAATGATCAATGGTCCTAATAGCTGAAGTTGGATTCAACTCAGTTGAACTACTGAATGATATAACATGAATTAATCCACACGCTAAAAGAAACATCTATAGATACCTTTTGTAATTGCTGCATTTTCTCTTGAGCCTCTCTTTCTTTCTTTTCTTTTATCTGTTGTTCTGTCAGACAAGCAAAACATTATTAATTTCATTACATATGATGGTTTTTAATTATTAATAATTGGTTTTGATTCTCATTATCCAATCAAAATTCTATAATATTTCTATTATACTGTACACTATTTATTATTAGTAGAATCCTACTAGTATACTAATTCAAATGCTGCAATCTGATTGGCTGAGCTACTC